AGAGGCTGAGGGCCGGTGTGCCCGCCGGGTGGCGGCCCGGCAGCCGCCAGGGCTGGGCAGCGAAGAGGAGGTGGCTGGGGGGGCCCTGGAAGGAGAGAAGTGCCCTGAGTGGGAGCACATCTGTCGGGGAACAGAAACCGGCCACAATGCGAACGTTAAATTGGAAGTACATTCTCTTGTGTGAAATACCAGAACAACTCATAGAATGCTCTGATACAAACTCACTTTGTGTGCTGTGTTTTTCTTACACCGTGGCAAGATTTTGGCAGCTGTAAGCCATGTTCCTGGAGAGTTTCACGCCCAAGTGCAGCTGTCTGTACGTGCAGGATGAAGTTCTGGTTTTCTGTGATGTCTCTCACAAGGTGCTTGTCATGCACCTGGTATCAGATCGCTCCATACTGAAGGTTGATATTCCACAATTAGCTTGCTGTTGCAGACGTCTGTCTTTAGAAGTCTTACAAGGGTGTGAAACTACTGGTTTGCATTGCAAGTGACAAAAATAATTTGCATGCCTCTGGTATTTCAAGACAAAAGATCAAAGAGAAGTTCTGGGGGAATGTCAAGTGAGAGGGATCAAGGGGAGAAGTTAATAAAGACTCAAAATCAGAAGGCATAGGGTAGATCCTTAGAGAGGTTTGAGCAAGTCAGTTCTGTAATACATCCTAAAGCTGAGCCTTTTGTGCAGATAGGGAGATTTCTAGAGGGGTTTATACTGATGTGGATTCCTTGGCTTACCAGTTTAAGGGTGCTCTAAGAGTTCTTTTGATCTGCCAGTGTCACTCTGATGTAAGAAAGCTGATGCCTGATGTGTCTGTGTATACACGGTGATGTGCTATTTGCAGACCTTCTGACTTCTGTGTGCACAAATATTTAGGAAAAACAAAGATTGTCTAAATTACCATTGTTGACTTAAGATTTTCCTTCCCATTGGACATATTTATGAGTGTGTGTAGGAGGTGGTGAAAAATCCTGCATGAAAAAATTACTTAATATAAATATTGCTGTAAACAGAAGAATACATTTTTCTTAAGTTGTTAGTGCCATATTCCAGTCTCTTCGAAGTGTTGTTCTGCTTTCTTTCTGATTTGACTGTTCAAGTTGAGTTAGTGTAGAATCATTAGACTAGTTAATGGGTAGCTAAACCCTTCCACTAAAAGAAAATGAGGGAGTAGGCATTAATAAAACACACAAATGTAACTCTAAAATATTTTTATCAGAGACTCTACAAGTGAATGAGAACTTCTTTCTACGGAACTGAGGTGAAGAGCTTCACTATGGGTCAACAGATTTCAAACCACACACAAACTGTAATTAACAAGTTGCCAGAAAAAGTAGCAAAGCATGCCTCTTTGGTTCAAGAGAGTGGTTTCCTAACCTATGAAGAGTTTCTGGGAAGAGTAGCTGAACTTAACGATGTGTAAGCCTTATTTTGTTTTGTTCTTTTTTTCATGTTTTGCAGAGACCTTGTATGCAATGTAGCCTCCTGTGCTGGCCAAGCCAGAACTGACCATCCAGTTTTGAAATGTTTCCTTCAGTTCTTAAAGTTGCTACAATGGTTGTAATTACACTGCAAAACCAAAGCCAGTTCTCCTCCTTAAATTTGCTTTTCTCTAATACTCTTCTTCCAGCAAGTGTTGCTTCTCTCGTAGAAGTTCACAAGAGGTAGACTTTTAGCAGTATCTCTTTGTTAGCCTCAAGTGTCTCCCTCGCTGTTGTCGCCTCCACCAGCCACCTGGAGATGCGGTGCTGCTGCCTCTCCCCATCGCTTTTGGGAGGAAGTAGCCCTGGGAGCCCTGCAGAGACAGCGCAGCACCTCCACACAACTGTCTGGGACCATCTCTCCTGCCTCTGTGGGCGGGCAGTGCTGCCCCTCATTAGAGAGGGGCCTTACTGTCTGACACCAGGGACCAAGATAATCCCAAACAAAAGGCTGCATAAGTAATTACGATTTTTTATAACCTGCCTTTTGTTTGACTGATACATTGATGGTAAAAAGAAATGAGCAAAAAAGCAGAATTGTCATTTTTACCCAGTATTTGTGGTATAAAATGATATGAAATGGAAATGTACACGCTGAAAAGGGGCTTTGTAGCATGTGACTTCTGGTAGCCTTTGGTGTTTAATGTTAATTTGTATTCAGTTTAGAAATTGTCCTGTGGAGTGACCATCAAGAACAGGTAACTGTCTTTGGGTAGACACGGAAATAGATTTTGAAGAACATCACTTTATGTTTTGCCTGAGAATCTGAGCATAACGCAGTATATTTAACTCCAAAATATCATTGTTATTCAAGGCTTTTAAAATTTTTTTTTACAGTTCAACCTGAATGTAACATTGTTTTAATTCTTACAGAAGAGACCTTTGTGTCTGTGTTCCATTAAAAACAATATACAAAAATCTCAGGGTCACCCGAAGCTTTCCCCTGACTGCTTCATTATTAATATATATCAGCAAAAACACACCTCAGCAGCATGTGTTGGTACTTGTGTGCTTTTCTTACCTATGTGGTAAGGAAACAGCCTCTTTAGATTGGACCACAAGACTGTATGAGTGCTGCAACAAACAGTGAAATTATATATAAATTAAAATGCCTATAAAGGACACTTTCTTGCTGATACTGGATCAAAAGACTTGCACATCATTTTCTGAAATTTACTTGCAATTTAAAGTGAAATGGACTGTGTATTTTATACTTAATGACATACTAAGAAGGTCATCATTTCATGTCTCTAGGCAGTATTGATAAAATCTCTTTAAGACTGAAGAGTACATAGGTGAACAATAAATAATACCACAGTGGCTGAGGTTGCTGATCCTTGCATGTCTACCACGTGGTGTAAAACTGTGTTTCTTTTTTCCAGTACTGCAAAATTGGCTTCTGGACAAGACAAACATTTGTTATTTGAAGTGCAGCCTGGTTCTGATTCTTCTGCTTTCTGGAAGGTGGTCGTTCGGATAATATGTACTAAAGTAAGATTGTTGAAATTTTTGATTTGATGGGGTTTTGTGTACAGATATTTGAGGATTGTCACTTTTACTGGTAAAATCCAACACTTGCTACAAATACTTTAAGTATATATTTTGATACAGATGATGTATTCATGGATACTATATGAGACAAATGACATCTAAATTCTACGTTTCTGCAAAAAGCAGGTTAACAAAAACATTTTCATAATTAAGTTTAAAGGAAAGATCTCTTCCAGTGGAGTGCTTACAGCCCATTAGTTATGAATTCAGATGATTTGTGAGGTCGAGTCATGGTAATCAAATAGTACAACAAGCAGGACTATATAGATTGGTAGTAGTCAAAGTTAGTCCGCAATTCCAAGCAGTATTAGTTGAGCTGGTGTAACCGTATGTATCCTGTCTCCTTAGAAAACCAATGTAAAAGTTAAATGTTTAACTCAGTTTGAAGACCGTGACAGAACTTAGTAAGTTTTCTCTTCCTAATCAGGAGGTTTTTCCTCTCTGTATCCTCTCAAGTAACAGCCTTAAACAGTCCTGAATTTTCTGAGCAACTTTAACAGGCAGCTTCACCCAAGCCAACTGTCAGACTTTGTTTGAAACTAACAGTTAGTAATTTTCTGTTTGCTCTAAGTTTTCATTAAGGCAGCCATCATTGTAGGCTGCTTTAGGTTCAAATACGAAATGACTATTTTTTCTGTTCTTTGTTCTAAGTTTAGCCCATTTTTTAGGCATCAGGACCCTACTCACAATTCATTTGAGTAGTGATGGTAATTGTCTTGCCCTAAAAATGTACTCGTCGTGATGAAACAGCTGTGTTTGCAGGTCCTAACTCTTACTGAAGGAGGCTGCAATTTGCTGACGTAGTGATGGACACTTGGGAAGGTGGCTGAATGCCACACTGCCATGAGAATCGCAGTGCAGTAAAAGAATTTTGAGCAATGTCAAATAAAGATCTGATTTGTAATGGTAAACAATTCTTATATCTTAAGATAAATAAAACAAGTGGCATCGTGGAAACTTCCAGAATCTTGAACTTGTATCAGTTCATTCAACTTTATAAAGACATCACCGGTCAAGCAGCAGGAGTTCTTGCACAGAGTGGTACTTCTGAAGAAGGTGCTGAGAATTTGACGACTGTGTCATCCTGTCAGGCCAGCCTGTGGATGGGAAGGTACTTTGATACATTCTAGCTTCTGACCACAGTTCCAACATAAGTACTTTGGAAGTTGTGTGTAAAACCTGAATTACAAACTGGTGATGATCAAAACTGCATGCTCTTGGCAATGCAGACTTTGTATCATCACAGACATGAAGAGCTCTAATTCTCTTGGTGCTACCATACCTTAGCTTCAGAGCAGTTGTTTCACTGATCAGTTCTAATATAAAATCATAATCAGTTCTAATATAATCTATATAAAGGTATATGTTGAATCTCCTGAATAAGGAAACGGGAGGAAATGGAATCAGCTGCAGCTACAAATCTAGGGGGTTTGACAGTGTTTGTTTAAACAGATTTTGTTATTGTTCCACTTAAACTTTCTCTTCCTCTTTTACATTTTGGCATGTGAAAGTTCCCATCTGTTGCCACTAGAAGCTCATCAATTTTAGTAATAATTTAACTTGTAAGACTGGAAAAATGTGAACTGTCTCACACCTGTTGACATCCTGCTTTGTTAACTAGAGGAAAAACAAAAGTCTGAGGTCAACACCTGCAATAACTTCAGTTCAAACTGAATCTAACAGCAAGAAGCTTGTCATCCTTTCCCTGTGTGGAAATGTTGTGACCAATAATTCCTTACTTTTAACTCTCTGAATTAGTTTGGAATTCCAACTCAGTTTTAGTGAGGCAGAGATAGGTTTTATAAGAAAAAGTGGTATTGTTCTCTGTATCAGCCAGCGAAGAGCTGGTAGGCAGGTATTTTAACAAAACAAGTTGCTGAGGTAGTTAACTGTCTTCAGTTAACTTCAGTCTCTCCAGCTGTGAGAAAGAGAAGGGGGTTGGCTGTGTGGTCATTTTACATATAGAGCCCACTGTTTTTTCTAAGTCAGTAGATTGCAGAATGTGTTTTTTTCATTTAATTTCCTGTTTGGGGGGGGGAACAAATAATGTCAAATTGCTGGCTGTACTGAGTTTTTGAAATGCTAGAATTCAGTACCAAGGCATGTTTGGGAAAGTGTATTTTCCTGCTCTTTCTCCAAGAATACATGGTTATACTAGAACACACGTATACCTGGAAATGGCCTTTTACCTCCACCAACCAAACCAAACAAACGCAGGGGCTTCTGCAAAGCAGCTTCATCTATTGCTGAAGTCAGTGAGTTGATGTAAGGTTTCCTAGGAGAGTTTCTTTTTCAATTTTCAGACTTTGAGATGGGGATGATGAGGATCCTTTGTGTTTGTAAAGTTCGTTGCTTGAGGTAGTAGTAGTGACAAATAGCAACAAAAGAGTATTTTTTTCTAAGATGCTGAAATTTAGTGAGCTTGTATCTTATCCAACGTTCTCAAGTCATTAAGGAAAACACAGGCTGAAGCACCTTCAAGTATTTTACACCAAGGAAATCTTCTGTTCTTCTGTTATATCCTCCCATTTGCCTAAATTCTTCTAACCGTTAGACATTTTTCAGCTCTGCAAGAGCTAGCTGTCACTGTCCAAAAATAGCAAATATTATCTGTTTCATTCTTCTTCTTATCTTAACTTCTTCCACTGGAATAATACCCCATTTCTCTAGTTCATCCACTTCCTGTTCAGTGCATTCCAAAATATCCATAAGTTGTTTGTGCTTTCTGATAATGAAGAGACAGCCATTTCCTTAGTTTGTTACTCTTCCATTTTACCATTTCTTCAGGAACTTAGTCCAATGGCTAAACCTTAGGTTCCAGAAACTTTATAAGTAGGGCATCCTTTTTAAGTATAATTGCTTGTGTGAGCAAATCTCAAAAACTGAAGTGTTTTCAAAGGTTGGAGTTCCATGGGAGAGGAAAATGAAAAGGGGGCAAGTCCAAAGCACATAGTGAGCTAATCAAAAGCCAGGTTTTTTGGAAACTTGTCCTCACAGTTTGCGAATCACCATCTGTAATTCTGAAAAAAAAAAAAAATCTCCTAGCCTTCTAACTTCTCAGAAAGCTAATTGAAAAGGAAACCTACTGAAGAATAAGACAAAAGTTGGGTTTGTTTTGTTAATTGCTGTCCATTAGCTGGCTAATCTGTACAGTTAAAAAATTAGTCTGTGTTTGAGAAGCTCCCAAGATAGCTCAGCAAAAGCAGTCTGGTGAGTAGCCGTTGGGGTGGGCTGTCTCTCCCGAAATGCCATTCCTTCTGGAATGCCACCTCTGCCCCAGGTCACACAGGGATCCCCAAATCAGGATTTTTGGAAAACCGAAAAATTTCAGAACATGTACTTAGCTGTCTTGGAAGTGAGCCATGACTATAAATTAGGGAACTTTACATGTCTAGTTAGGTCAGTGAAAGCTGAGGATTCTCTGCATCTTTTCGCACTTGAGAAGTCTTGATAATGCAGGTATTTGAGTTACTACCGTTAGGAACTTTAGATACAGATATCTATTATTTGGGGAAAAAGAATGAAGACAGAGAAAATGAAAATGTCTGTCCTGAGGAGTGATCTAGTTTTTAAACTTACACACAGACGAACACCTAGACACTTATCTGGAAAAGCTGTGGTAACAGTCAACTGAGAGAGTCCTGATGTGGGGGAAGAATCGTGAGGAATGTATTGCAAGCTAAACCCAGCCTTTTCAATCGGATGGGCAGTTTAGCTCTTGGCATTTTGATGGCATGTGAAAGTGAACACGCATTCTAGAAGTGATCCTCTCAGCATGCATGTTTTTATGTAGGATGTGAGCCAGTACACAGGAATTTGACAAAGTTCATTATGAAATAGCTCAGCCTGCCACTGTGGGGAAGGCAGGCGGATTCTCCTCTTGCCTTTATTGTCAGCAGTGTTTCTGTTCTGCCCAGTCGTGTGGTATGGAACAGCTACAGCTTATCACACTTCCTTGTCAGCATGAAAAAGGATTTGCATAACCCTTTGCAACACCAAAAGTACCACATGACACAAGTAAATGGATATTCTAACTTAGTTTATTTACTGCAGTTTGTTGGTAGCTGGAGGCTGTGCCTGCTGACACAGGCCGGGATGATGTGTCTAGTCCGGTCACAAAATTACCTGTTCCTCGCAGATAAGCACAGGTGCTGCTTTATGTCCATCACTAATTCCCAGGAAAAATGTAGTAACCAGTGTAGTCACTACTAGGGCACAAGTATAAAACTTATTGGTTATCTGGGAGAAAATACTGTCTTCTTTTCTGCAGGGTTAAGCAGTTGACAGATGAAGAGGAATGTTGCATCTGCATGGATGGCCGTGCTGATTTAATCTTGCCGTGTGCTCACAGTTTCTGCCAGAAATGCATTGATAAATGGTAATACATATTAAAGGATCTTCATTATTTTATAGTATGTACTGGTTATCTGACATGTTTTGGTTTGGTCTGACAGATTCCTTAGTTCCCATATAATTTAATGGCTGAAGGTATTTGGAAGTTCATGTACGTATGATACATAACAAGCTTGAGTCAAATCAGGCTGCAGCAGAAGGAAAGGATTTCAGAATTTGTAAACATCTGATGAAGAATTTAATTTTGAAAGAAATGAAAGTGCTTTTCAGCATTTGTTTTGTAATTTATCTCTTTTTATTCTTGTAAAATTATTGTATCCTTGCTCAAAAACTAGAGAAGATGGTACATGCTGATGCTGGCATGTTATGCTTCACAAAATCTCATCAAAAGCTTTTTAAGGAAAAAATAGTTTGTAAGACTGCAAATATGAAGGCAACTTGGACCATCTTATCACTTATTTGGGAAATAACTATCAGATTTTTTTTCATATATTATGATTTCACTTGAAATAAATAGTATACAGTTTACTCATTTAAATAGATCAGACTTTTCGAGGAAAAGATTTTTTCTCTATAGCAACGCCTTCAAATTTATGTATAACATGTATCTTACAGTATATGTTCAGCTTTGTAGTAAACTGAACAGCTTTTCAGCTTCTGCATCTGTCTGATACACCAGTTGGTACACAAGGAAAAATGTAGTAAGAATTGCTGGATCTCGGAGTGTAACTAGTCCTCTCTTTTCTGGGAAAATAGTGTAACATCTATCAGCAATACAGGACAGTGTAGTGACTGTGGTGGGGAGCAGATTATATTCTACTTTGGCTACTGAATCAGCTGAACTCTTAACTAAGCTCCAGTTACACCGTTCTTGTTTCTGATACTCAGTTTTATGGTTCATCTCTTATTAAGCTAAGCACAGAACAGAGCCTCCCGCCTCAGAAGTGTCCTTGTTGGGACCCCCGAGTTAGTCAGTGGAGGGGGACGGGACCAGTTCTAAACTTCAGTGGCCTGAATGACCCGGGAAGGGGGTTTCTTTTTATCTGGGAAGCTCACGGGGACTGGGTTCTGAAGTACCTCCACTGAATATCTAAAGATAGGAAGAATTAATTGAGACTGTAGATTTCCACTTCCAATTCTGGTCAGGTAGCTAGATGCATTGTAGTTAACCTAAGCAAACTTGGTAATGAGGAACATGACTCCAAACAGCACTCAGAGAATGGAGCCACATTCGGAACTGTTGGCCAATCTTCACAAGAAGCTTTTACAAAAATATGTAGGTGGCCTAATCCTGTTAACTTGATCATTCTTGGAAGTTCTCACTGGGTTGTTGTGTTTGGGGTTTTTTTGTCTTTGTTTGGGAGCTCTTTTGGCTTTTTTTTGCCCAGGAATTGACCATCAATGAAAAATACTAATTTCTCTGGCTTCCTGACAGGAGTGACCGTCACAGAAGCTGTCCTGTCTGCCGTCGGCAAGTGAGTGGGGCAGGTGACTCTTGGGTGGTCTCAGATGCACCCACAGAAGATGATATCGCCACTTACATACTTAACATGGTAGATGAGGTGGGCCAGCCTCACAGACCCTGATACTGGCCAACAAGCTGGTAACAGAGAAGCACTTGAAGCTTTCGTTTTCACAAACGTCTGTTTTTACCTCTCGTTGCCATTCTTCCAGTCTTTTACTTCTCGGCTGCTGTGAATCTATGCTGCTTTTTTAAAACACAGGTTGTATGAGCCAGTGTAAGTCTGTGCAGTCTTAATTATTAATCTGTATTTTCAGTAAACTCTTAGATCATTAACAAAGTTTATTTTAACAACTTTTGATATTAATTAACAGTTCAACTACTAGATGAAACAATTTATAACAGCACAACTACAACTGCTAACTGCTGTTGGCACATCCCAGTGTACTGCTAGAGGTGATGAACCATGTCTGATGGCCTGACTTCACAGTTCTTACCCCTAAAAGCACTCCCTTTTAGTTACTTGACAGATGTGAATAAAGATGATGCGTTAGCACTAGTGGTTATTAATTTGAAATTTTACTTCCTGAAACTTGAAGATATCCCACTGCCTGTTCTTCAGTAGCCAGTTATTGCTGCTTTTAGTGTTCATAGGTACTGATTTCAATCTGATCTGTTACAAATTTTAGTATTAAGTATTTTAAATCTGTTTTGGAGAGTGTAGGCAGCTCTGTAAGTGTACTTGTGCACTTCCCTTTATTCTTCTAACAAGATTTTATCACAGTCTTACTAGCTTGGAGACATTTAACAGTTTCATACACAATACTAAAAAAAAAAATATGGTTTATAGTTTCTTGATCAAGAACAGCCAGAATAATTTTTAAACATGAGGCATACCTGAAGGAAGTTACTTTATTTGAATTAGCAGTTAAGGTGTAGTTTAGTCTGATGCTGTGGTTTTATCTGCTTCTCTGGAGTTTTTGAAGTGATGAAATCAGAGACTAAGAGTTATAAGCTGATAATCTAAGTAAGGGTGCTGTGGTTTATACCTACAAGTGCAATATGCTTTTATGTAGCAGGGAGAACTACTTTAATAATAATGTTGCTTGCAGTGAGATGAGCATGTGACAACTTGGGAAAAGGGATATTGTAACTGGAGTGCAGTGTCTTTCTGTGCCTAGCAGAGTAAAATTTTTGAAGAGCTGGCTTTAGACAGACTAAAAAAATCATTAGGAAACCCGTCTTAATCCCCTTTTGCATAAAGAGTGTTATGGAAATCAACTGCTATTGTAGAGAATTAATTAATGATTTAAAAAAATGTATATATTAACAAATACTACTCTTTTAACATGAGGCTGTTGAGTGAGAAACGCTCAAGTGTAGCATTTGAGGGGGTATCAGCATAAATCTTGCTTACTCTAAGAGTGCATTTTTAATTACTGTACTTGGTAAAATTTGCTGATGCCATAAGGCCTTTTATCACAGACAGGTTCTGAACTAAAAGGCCTGCACACATCTAGGTACACACATTTCAGTTTTTCTTGATTGCCTTCAAAAGATTTTAATTATGTTGGGGACCGGATCTTGGGAATTTCTCTATTATCCTTCTCTTTGGTGAGGAATCTGCACAGCATATGGCACCCACGTGAGCTTGGCGTGTAGCACAGTTGTCAGATTTATCGCAGACATTAAGACAGATAAGCAACGTACCCTTCTTGTGGGTATCATCTGAAAGCCAATATGGCTTAGTGTATAAATCTGTAATTTAACTAGTGAAAAATCCATTATGAATGTATATAGCTTAGAACTGATTTTTTTCCCTTTGTTAATCCTTTGATATCAATGAGATACTATACAGAAAATGTATGGACTGTTTGGTTGCATATAGTTGTTATTTGGGCTGAAAATTATTAATGGTCAGGGGTTTTCCACTAAAATGTTTGCAGATATTCCTAATCACATACCAGTTTGGGTTTTTTTTGCTTTTTCAGCTTGCATTAGTCCATGTTCAGAACTTTAAAATAACCTTTGAATTTCTTAAACTTTTTGTATCACTGGAACAGAAAGAGCATCTAAATTAAAGCTTCAAGCTAACTTTATTTTTCAAGTGTTTCAAGAATGATGCTTCTGAACTGAGATTTTCTAAGTTGCCTTTCTGCTGAGAACTTAAATGAATTTCTTAAAATGTAATTTTGTAATTTGCAAACAGGTTGTTAATTGCAGCACAATGACACTTGCAATTACAATATAAACTAATGCAAAAATTTAGTGAAAAAGTAAACTTTGTATTCTGTACAGCTTTTTTTAATTAAGTTGCTGTAATTCATACTGCTGTGATATAGGTACTGTAATGTGTGCCTTGTAAAATACATGTACTGGGTGTTATATGGGATAATAGGTACACTAACACTGAAAAACTAGTGATTTGGTACTGGTTGGTACTACCTAGGCTGAAGTGCTACATTTAGCAAAACATTTTGGAAAAGGAATCCCATTGGCAGGGACAGGGCAATGGGTCCAGAAGCTAGACCTTGAACATGTGAATTACTGTGAATAGTTGTTGGCAGGGGGCATTAGAAGAACTAAACTTTGTGTTCGGTGAAGATTTCTTACAGGTTTAATGTGAAGTTGTGACTTAAACCTTATAGATTGTATTAATAGCTAAGGACATTCCAGCATATTAAACTTTGTGTATGAATTGTGCAATAAAGTTACTTTGGAAGAAATGTCTTGGCTTTAATACCACAAAACTCTGGAAACTGGATTTTAATTTGAACACAATGCCGTTGTACAGGTGGTGTGGTTAAAAGTACACCATGATGAGTCAGATGTCTCTTCAACTTTGCAGTGTGATGTTAACGAGGTATCTTAAATGCAGCTCTGCAAAAAAAGACTCACTCTGATTCTTCTGGTTTGGATTTTTTTTTTTTTTTTGTCAAAACAAATACATTGGGACGTTATGCAGTGATGGGAAAAATTAAACAACTTCTTAGGAGGACAGTATTGAAGAGCATGTTTGGGGATTTTTTTTATCTCAGAGAAGTGTTATTTACTTTTTCCCCAAGTTATTTCATTGCATTTCTGACAGTACTTTAAAGCTTAAGAATGCTAAGGGTTGGAGTATTCCTTCTCAGATTCTTCCTGGTTTTCAGTAAGCACTGAAATACATAATTAATGTAGGTGTTTCCTCTGTCTAGTTACTTGGTTTATCTGTTCGGATCTTTTGAAAACAGGTGAGAAATGGGAGAGGAACTCATTAACAGATCAGGGAATGAAAGTTGGAAAACTTACCAGTTGTCAGACACAGGGGGCTAAGTGTAATCGTGGAGTTAACAAATGTCAGTATTTACTAGGTTTCAAGTTCTGACACCATATTAATGCAAAGTGTTTCTTTTTTTAGTGGGAAACGGCATGTTTAACTTAGCTTTCCTTTAAAGAGAATTCCATATATAATTATAAAGGTTTTCTAATCCATACTCATTCCAGTTCTGAAAACAAGGCCGCCAGTGAGCTCTCTGTGCTACAGGTTTGACCTGAACTGTTAAATTCCAGCCCTGTGTAGCTGTGTGCCAAATGCATTATTTTTAGAAGGAACCTCTTGGCTGTGGTTGTCTGTGCTTTGTGTCCTGCTGAATCCTGGAACAGCAGCCTCCTCAGGGAGCCTTAAGGATGCTCGCTGTAAGTGGGAGCTGTATGTTAACCTCTCCGGCCTTAATTCTTGACACTGCATACAGATAAAATTCTTCCATTTTGTATCCACTAAATACACATGCTCTGTAATGAAAGTAATTATACTGTGACTAATATTACAGTAATGAATTATTTTGTTTTTCTGGTGTTAAACCATTCTTGAAGGTAACACAAGGTTTTATCCTCATCTTAAAATGGGTGAATGGAATTCTGCTTTCTTGTGTGTCTTTGATGTTTGGTTCTAAGGTCCAGAATTTATCATACAGCAGCTTGCTCTGAAGCCGAGCCGCCTTCTGTTGCTGCGTGTGGCTGGAAGTGCTGCGAGTGGGACAGTGCTCTTGCCGCCAGGGCAGCGTGTGATCGGCAGGTAAGGGGTTTGCTGTGAGCTCGCCCTCTTCCACTGAATGGTGTGTCCAGGGGGGATCTGACAACACCGTCTGCTTTCGTAGCTGAGCTGTCCTTCGTTAGCAGGGGATTGCTTCCCTCCCTAACCTGACTATGGGGCTTGAAATATTAAACACTGGGCATGGGTTTTGTAGGCCTGAAATAAAAATTATCTATCAGTTTGGAACTTTGCCCAGTGTGACTGGTGGACTGAGGAATACTATCCCACAGGTAATTAAATGAGGGCTCTTTGGTTCAAAGTGTTACTTAAAAATACAAGGTATTTTTATGAATTAAGTTTAACCTGCCCTTCTGGAATTTGATTGTATGTGGAACGAGGTAGGGTTTTGGTACAAGTCTCTGCTTCCATGCTATGTGATTCAAACCCACTTTAACAGACCTGCCAACAATTGTTTATGTGAGATGGTACCCCTTAATCATGGTTAATGATTAATGACGGAGCACTGTTGGTGTCTCGCTATTAGATATACACTGTTCTCTCTCTGTTTAATATGGATATTTAGGGCTCTGAGAGGTACGGGAGAGAAATACATTCTTCAGTGACAGGTAAGTCTGTACTCTTGTGTACAGAAAGACACATTTTAATCTTCATCTAAAAATCTTTTATTACATTTCTTACTGATTTGTGTTTTTTCCTTAGAAGTCACTTTGACTCTAGCAGAATGTCCATGTTGATATTAACTATTTATTTCAATTTGTTAATATTTTGTGGTCTTTTTGTCAGATCAAGTGTTCTGTGTACTGCTTAAGTAGTTTCAACTGTGAAACTGCTTTCCTGCTCCCCAGTGGAGGTGTTTTGACTCTCAGTTTAGTACCAAGATGAGGCTCCAGGCTGAGGCAGAGGTGTTGCACTCTTAGCCCTGGTGCCCAGTTTGGATGAGCAGGGGCCCCAGGAGGCTGGGGGTCAGCCCTGCAAGACACTTACACTTCAGGACATAATGCCAGGCCTCCTGCTGGCACACATCAGAACAGCTGGTTTTCATTAACACTGAATTACTTTAGGTCAGCTCCTAAATAGAGCTTATTCTCTATCTTCTGCACTGGGGTTTTTTTCAATTTTTATGCTGTGGTAGTCTTTCATTTTGGTTTAGTCTTCTGCACTGCTAACAGTTCATGTGCGTAGGCTTTTACTTCTACTTAAAGGTAGAGATTTTGAGAAACTACAGTTTGAGGCACACACAGACAAAAACCCTAACCATAATCTTTCATAATTTATTTATTTGTGTAATGTTTAATGCTTCCACAAGAGGCAAAAGATAATAATTGTTCCCAGGCACAGAAAGAAAAAGCAGTTTTTACAGATATCCCTCCCCCCCCACCACCTTTTTCAGACTTAGATTTTAACTAGGCAAATAGAACAGAAAGACTTAGCCACAAGTAAAGAACAAAGATAATGAGAAGATAAAGTAACTCTTGAGTGAGGGAAAAAAAAATGGTATTACCCAGGGGCAGAGCAAATGCTAAAGTAACGTAACAGAATAGAAGAGTATCATTAGAAATTGTTCAGATAGATTTGTTGTAAACATCAAATAACCATCATTAATCATTTTAGGTGAAAGTATAAAATGCTCTGAGCTAACAGATTTAAAGAAGTCTTGAATAATGTTTGAACCTTAACACCAATGAAATGATGCAAAAAGAGGACGTTCTCCCCTTCTGAAGAAACACCAGCAGTGATGTGCTTCTAGTCCCCGTTTGAGTAAAACACAAGCTGTGGTGTAACCAGGTTTGGTCTCAACCCTGTTGCACGAAGCAACTGACCTGTCTTAAATGTGAGTAAATGTGTACAACAGTAATCCAGGTATCAGTAACACTTCGTTACACACAGACCCTACGACTGTAAGGTTGTCTCCAACAGCCATACATTAGAGAAGTGAAACTTAAAAAAAAATGTGAAATTTAAGAACTGAACTTGAGAATCAGTAGCTTCTGCCTAATTAAAAGATGACCAAAAGAGATGGAGTAGTGGAAGCTTGAAATAATGTCTTTTTTTCCCCTAAATATAACACTGTTGGTTCAATTTATCCTTAAAAGCAGCACACAAGGAAGTCACAGAAAGCAGAACCTGTGGTCATGGCCACTTGTGTGTTACTGCCACTCTTGTCAATAATCTCAATTACTGTCTATTAACTGAATATTCAAATCCAGTTTTGGTTTTTTCTTTAATAAGAGCTACAGACATATTAGAACCTGATATGTTTGAGGTAAGGAAAGCTGGAAAGGTATTAAACATACATTAATTTGCTATAGTATTAAGAAAACTAAGTAAGAAATCTAAGTAACAACAAAAGCAGCATTAATAGCGATCTCCAGGTGAAACAATCCCAAGTAAAGCTGTGTTTATCAGATGAAAATACAGAGTTTCAGTTCTTCAAGCATGTTGCCTATTCAGCCTAGACACAGATGCTTTTCTCAGGTAAATAATGTTATATTGATAATAATTTATTAGTAAGCTGTACTAATGAAAACAAGATGTCTGCATTTTATGCAGCTAAAATATTTGAACCACTGTTTTCAGACTTCATCCTAAGAACATTACACTCACCAATCCTGGTAACATGAGCTGCTAAAGTTTCTAACAGTGAGGCCAACAGGCTGACTAAGAACTCTGGACAATGTTCTACAACTGCGCAGCGTAGCATGGTTTCACGGGGGTTTTGGCTGCACAAGGAATGCAGTATCTGGCACTTGCTGAACACTGCAGACGTTAGGCTGGGGCGCGGAGGAGCCAGGGTCAGTTCCCCCAGCACCTCTCTGCAGCACCCAGCACCCTGTTTTGGTGCAGAACGTCTGCAGTCAGGGCAGCTCCCGGCAGCGGCACAGCCACAGCTCTGCCCCTCTGCCGGGCTCCCTCGGGACAGCCCCACTCCCAGGCTGCTTCCTAAGGGGCTTTAGCCTTAACCTCTCTTAGGGGGCTCTTGGAGGGCTGCACAGCTGTAGGAGGCGATAGGGAATTCCTCCTTCCCCTACTTTGGTGCCATTTCCCTGCAATCAGCATTCAGGACAGCAGGTACATTAAAAAACCAGCCTTGCAGGTACTGACCTGCCCCAGCCTGAGGAGGGAGCCTGTGTCTTCAATGCACGTATACATCTGTGCCATCAGCGAGTTGTTTGGGACTGCTGATGTCACAGCTGCTACTTCTGGCTGCATTTCCAAGGGAAAGTGAGACCTGATCAGTTCTTGAAGGATGTAGGTGCCCAAGCCCCAGGAGAAGGGTCTGGCCTATGAAATACAAGTAGCCCAAGACAACTGATGTAGTAAAATGGGCAGGGTTCTAGGCCTAGTGAGGCTTGATTGGCTAGTATTCATTATTTCCTTTTTCTGCATTAATTCTGAATCACTGTTCTAGGATGCCTAAGCTCCCTCTGTATTGTCTTAGATACCCAGGTCTCTAACCACAGGCTTAGGGCCTGCAGGCCTTCCAGTGAGCTAGTGTAATGTGGGCTTAGAGGCATCAACATCCTCTGCTGCCCCTGGACTTGAGTCAGACAGATGCTACCATGTTATTACCTTTAAACCTTTCGGAACGAGTAGTAAGAACCATGTCTTAAGAAGGATGATCAAATAGAAAAAAGACTGAACGTTATAAATATTCTAGTGGCTGTATTTTACTAGCCACTCCGTCATAAAAAAAGTTTAACATAACATGATTTGAAATGACATATTTCAAGTGGGTTAGCTTCTGTATAAATAGACTTCTCATTCAATGCTAACTGACTAAAATACAAACTAACACAAACATGTAAAAAGATGTCAGAAGTAGGACCAGAACCCAGGTCTGGAGTTTCTACCACTGATTTATAAGAACACGTCCTTTGTTCAAGTAAAAAATTTCTCTTTATATGCAACCAAAATTATCTGCATAAATTTCCAAGTAATTTCAACTGGCATATCCATGTATTCTCCTTACAAAGCAATAAAAAAAGTGTTCTCAACTTTCAAGGCAAAGTTTTCATGATATAATTAGACTCATTATTAAAATGTACAATAGTGATGATTGTGACACCATGTTTTCTACTTACTAGATTAAAAGGTATTAATCTGCTGTTCTTCACAGACACCCTACGTGACAACAGGAAGCAATTCATTAGCTATTAAACAAGACTACCAGATTTTCCTTTTTCTTTTTTTCCCATATAACTGCTGAAACATTAAGATAAAAACTGTCTGAACACCTTCCAGCATGAAAAGGTAGCCTCAAAATTATGCACTCCATAGAAACTGCTAATGAATGAAGAGTTAAACATACAGGTGCTGAACGCCATGAGGCTACTGAGCCCCACAGGACACCTGCAGGAGCTCAAGGTGCGCTCCCAGATGCACTAGATAGGCTCTGTTGGTTTCCAAGCTACAGTACAGTGCACAGTTAAGACAGTATGAGACAAACATGACATGATTCTGAGCAGTTAATATTTACAGCAATCTTACAAAGTCTGATGTTTGCAGAAACTGAAATTTTTGCAATGAGAATAACGCAGTAAAAGATAACAGCAAATGCTGTTTACCTTCCATAGGTACTCTGGTTTTCGCTGTTCTGTTCAGTTACGTCTTGGTAGCATCAAAACAGATGATTCAGTGTTAATTACCATCTTACCCTGCTTAGGAGTGAAATGTTCTGGTTTCTCTGAGTTTGTAACTACTTCGACAGAGTAGAAATCTCTTCTGTTCTCATAGCATCAGACAGGAAACTAAGTTCATTGCACAGTGTCTCGTACCTGAAGGCCATCCGGATCTGGGCAACGTTTGTCTTTCGAATGTCATTTCCCTCAGGCCCTTCTTTACAGTAATTCACCCCTAAGAATTTCTGCTTTTCCTGTGAACAGGATTAAATGTAAAAAGGAAGAAGTCAGTTCGACTGCTTTGATTTATTGTATATCTGAGTATTTCTTAGTTGAATGACTCCAGTGCAAGTGAAAAGAGCAGCTTCAGCCAGCTGGCCACTGAACTCTACCTCTTAACCTGTTTTGGAGATTTTAAGGCCAAAGTTTATAACTTAATTCCTCAGCAGTGTGTTAAGTCTGGCTTGCTAAAACTCTTTCTGCTACTGTTCCATCTTCACATCTGATCTGAGAGGTCAGAAAGAGGCTTATGTTTCTTTTGTTAAATGTTATACAAGAGGAAAATTAGTAATTATCATTAGAGAACATAGGCAGAAACAAGAGAATACATTTGTCAAGCCCCTTCACATACCAGCTCCTTAAGAATGTTTGAAAGTGACACAGAAGAAAAGATGCTCTAAAGTAAGTCCTAGAGAAAGTCATGGATGTGTAGAATTTTAAAGCCAAAAGGGAATTTAATCTGACCTCTCCACAACAGAATATTTTCTGTAGTATTCCCTTCCAGGCAAAACTATGTCTTGCTTATGATAGGTAGTTTGTTTTTACTCAGTGCAAGACATCAGTGCAAGGCAAAGGGATCTCACTCAAATAATTAAAGGTTTAGGGCTGGAGACAAAACTGAGTATAAACAGCCACCTGGTCTCTGCATGTTTTGGGAATTCCAAAACAAAGCTAATGAGAAAAAAATGTAACATTAGTACTTTAATGTAAGACTGCATAGCAGATAGTTTGCAAATGTTCCTCTAAAAAAGGATAGGGGTGTACACAAATACATCACATAAGCACCTACTGCTCAACTGTCAGACTTCTGACTTCTCAGTTCCTGCCTGCCCTAATATTCACAAAAGAGATTTTTTCAGCCACAATTACCTTGTCTGACAATCCACTCTGCAGCACGCTGTTTCTTGCTATTTCACACAAATCACAGGTACTTAGTTTCCACACCTGGGCTGCAATAGCATATTCCTCCATGAGAGCTTCCTGTATCACCAAAATGTTTAATATTAAATTATATGTAAATACAATGTAAATGGAATATGTACTCATTACTAATTAAGGAATTTATACATGCTCTTTAGATAGCTGTGAAAAATTAGAGGTTTAAGACTTTAATCACAATTAGTAATGAACAGAATTGTTTATTTCAAATTTCTCAAGGGTGACTGTTAAACAATTAATAGGCACTGGGTATCCAGTTATCTTAAGTCTCAGAAACTGCAGCCTGCAGTCCAGATGCTGAGAGGCATTTATTAGGCAATTTCAAATGAGATCCCAGGGTATACAAACACCTTGCAGGATCTGGTTGTAAATGTTTAATGAATATGTACCTAGGCAGATAGCAGGGCAATTTCTCTGCACAAGGAAGCTGGGTCTGACTCCAGTGGGCTGTCACCGCTGAGGATCCTCCACACTACGTGACCCTGTGGTGGTGCTGTGTTACACCCGCACAGAAAAGCCCCCACAGCAGCTCTGCCTGTTCTAGCAGACATGTCGTGGGCCAGCAGCGAGCCTGGGTGAAGCACGCCAGAGCTCAGCCTGTCCTCAGGACACAGGCAACTGAGCTATGGCCAGGCCAGGCCGAGGCACAGCATCACTCGGGGCAGTGCCAACCACAAAACTGGGGCATCAAAACCAGTGACCAGGCAGTTGTGTCCTGCCAGGCCACCCAAGGCCAAGAATCAGCTTCAATGTACTGAGCAAACAGCTCGTATGTCATCTTCAGAGATTCCACAGCATGGTTTTGTAAAGTACTTCCCCAGATTTATTAGTAAGGAAACTGGACTTTCCTGGCACTCTAGAGGATTGTTTATGAAGGCTCAAACCTCCCTTCAGCCTCATCCTTCATTCTATACTTCAACAGCCAACACTGGAGAGGCAAGAGTACAAAAGAAACATAATTAGGAAGTCAGACATTTCCCTCTGAAACCTAACGGTGAGTAGTAGACTGAGAATGAGGAAGAACAATGAATGAAGTGACTGAAAGACATGAGACTTTATATCCTAAGTGATCATACAGAACAGCTTTCAGGTCATTCTGGGCCTGCGTGGTACTGTTGCCAAATGCTAAGACAAGTGGTTTTGCCTTTCTTACCTTTGTATAATGAAACTGCATAGGATCGTCTGTGGAGAGAGAGACATGAAGTCCCTTATGTAGAAATTCCCGTAGTGGATTTTTTGAGTACTCCAGGAATAGGCTGTTGTTACTAAGGGGAGACATAGCAATGGGTATTTGTGCAAGATAGTAAAGATACTGGAGGACAGGACTCTGCAAAAAAAAAAAAAAAAACAAACCCAACACAATCAGCATTTAATGGTACTATGGGATAATGATGAAAAAAAAGATGGCTTTTCCTCAGATAAAATAGAAACAGCATGACCCCCAAAATTAGGTTGACACTAAACCAACTTTAGAAAATACTTAAAAGTCTAAATTTTAAATGTTACTGATCTTTATAAAAATAATTTGTATTCTTCATTATATGTCATCATCTTTTTGAAAATATGTACTAACTGCACAACTTCCCCAGAACCTGAAAGTCACAGGTAACAGACGTGTAAGAACTGCTAAGCAATCTGTTCTTTTCAAAACTTCGGTCCAACAGGTAAATTCTAGGAGTAGAAGTTTTAATTTATTAGAAATCATGTGTTGCCATTGCACATAATCTAAATAATCTGTGGTCACCTCATCTTTATTACTATTTTTGGCTTAACCAACCTGTGAGCCTAACAAGTGTCTTTATTATTATTATTATCCGCTATGCCAGGTTATCACATCGGGCTAAGCAGGAGGGAGTGAAGAGAATGTTTTGGTCACACACAGTCTTTCTGGGTCTGATTTTAGGCATTACTGCTTCGGAGCATAACATCAGACATGATTTTAGGCAAAATTTTTCTTAGTTCTTGGATATGTTGAAAAATACGGAGAGAATTTTCCAGCATTAACCAGAAAATCCAACTTGGAGAACTCTTTCAAAAAAATCACAATGAAGTCGGTGCAAGTCTGCCACCCACTGACAATTATTTTAATTACAAAACGGTGGCCTGGGGATAGATTGTATAATCGTTTCTATTAACAGATATGCCAGGAATGATACCATTTGTCCTGTCATAACAATCAAGATGTGTATACACATGTTAAAATTCATGATCAAGTGATCCCAGTTACTCTAGATACAAATAATCAAAACCTTAATGAACTTCTGAATGAACCCTGAAGTACAGGGATGCCAGTCAAGGACAATTACATTTGTTCCTGTACAGAAAAAAGTAGAGCTTTCCTTAAATTCTTCTGGGACCTAAACCAGAGAGTAGTAACAGGTCTAAGCAGTTTTTTCCATGTAATTTTAGCTCTGCTTGCAGTAACCAAAACCAGGTGCTGCCAAGTCACTGACACATCTGAACAGTTGATCTTTCCTACAGAGACAGTGCTTTAAAATACTCACTTAGGAAAAGCTGTATTTTTGTAACTTAAATAAGAAATAGGAAGTTCAGCTGAGCTTATTTATTTCACAGAATCAAAGAATGGTTTGGGTTGGAAGGGACCTTAAAGATCACCTACAGTCCCACCCCCCCTGCCCCAGGCAGGGCCACCTTCCACCAGCCCAGGTTGCCCAAAGCCCTGTCCAACCCGGCCTTGAACCCTTCCAGGGAGGGGGCAGCCACAGCTTATCTGGGCAACCTGTGCCAGGGCCTCACCCCCCTCACAGGGAACAATTTCTGCCTTAGATCTCATCTAAATCTCTCCTCTGTCAGTTTAAACCCATTACCCCTCATCCTATCCCTCCACCAATCAAGAGTCCTTCCCCCCTTTCTTGCAGCCCCTTTCAGTCCTGGCAGGCCACTGTCTCTCCAGAGCCTTCTCTTCTCCAGCTGAACCCCCCAACTCTCAGCCTGTCCTCACAGGGGGGTGCTCCAGCCCTCCAGCAGGTCCGTGTCCTGCTGTTGGTGCCCCCAGAGCTGGACACAGGCTCCAGGTGGGGTTTCTGATCAAAAGAAAGATTTTTACTTGTGCCTTGCTAAGAAAATAAATTTTGGGCTGCCCAGATAAAATCCATTTGGTGACTGCTGTATGAACCAGGGACTGATGTCTAGCAGACAGTGATTAGTTTAGGTGACCAACCAGGCAATACCTTCTTCAAGAGCAATCCATGAGAGATGTTGTCTGCTGTCAGAAAAGCTGATACAAGGTGTGTGATAGAGCCGGCTTCACCACAGTGAGGTCGAAATAGAAAAGTACACATGCCTCTTTCCCTGAGGGGATTAAAAGCAAGTTCTACTAACAAAAAAATTAACTGTTCTGCATCTATTTTGTATATAATATCCATTAATACAGGAATTTAAAAAATAAAAGTTAAACATTCTCATACAGTTTGACATGAAATTTAATCAGGCCTACCTGTAGGCTGCTGTCAAAAGGGGCAGGTCCCTCTAACCCAAAGCCCTTCTACCACCCGACATATTTGTGTCTCCTTCCTCCCTCCCTTCCCCAGTTACCTCTCATTTAGCAATTGTTTAGCTACCAGGTGAACAGTTATTCAACTGATTTCAGGTGAAGGAACTGGCAGATGGAAAGCTAAGTGAACTGGTGCAACCTGTGGCCATGTAATTCCTACATTTAAAATGAGGGAAGAAGTGGAAGCACATTGCCAAGAGTTAGCTAACACCCCCTAGGTGTGATGACAACCTGCCATCTCACCAGGTTTAGTGTAGCATTAAACTACACCCTCAGTAGCGCAGAGATGACCTAGGAGTACTGGTTATTACACTAGACTTCACACTATAATTTTCAGAACTATTTTTATCATCTATATTACAAATGATGCTGGCTTTTAGGTTATAATGGATGCCATTATTCAGTGCAAACACTGTCCCATAAGTATCTGGAGATGTTCAAAACAGAATTTCAACAAGGACTGCTAGAGTATCAGGCAGTTCTAGGATGGACATTTAGCAACATCTCTCCTGAAAATGGAGGTGACTTTGCCAACAGTACCAAAATAGAAAACAGTCTTGTAATGGACTGGCTGTGGTGCCTCAAATAAACTGTTCACCCTGTTGAAAGCATTTACTGACTCATTGATGAACTGTGTCATTATCTCACCTAGCTGTAAAGAGTATTTAACGATTATCTAGAGATATTTTTGAACAGAAGCTGAAATGATCTTGAGGTAAAAAAAAAAAAAAAAAGAAATGCCTAAGTTCTGACAATCTCTGGAGAAGAAAAAAAATGTTGACAACAGAGAATGTAAAGGAAGTCAGGAGAAAGAGATGACTGATACCTGCTGTACTGTGTCCTCTCCATTACAGAACTAAAACTAACAACTAGGCCTGTTTGTTGCAGGTACAAGGTAATTTAAGGTGGATGTTTTTATTCTGAGTTTTGATTATATAGGATGGTAGAGAAAGAAATGCTTGAGGTAGCAGTGGGAAAGAAGAAATAACATTTTGAACGTTAACTGGGATAAGACCTGTTAAAATGACAAATCTGTGCACCTCCTGTGAGAAATGCTTTGTAAATAATAACGAATGAAATCCTTGCAAGGTAAGTGATGGCACCATAATAAACGACGTCACTGTGACTCAATTTGAGTCACCTGTGCAGATCACTGAGCGAGTCAGCCACAATGCCAAGAACATCAACTCAACTTGAATTTCAGGCTTTACTGAGCCTGATGCCAAAATCTGCTTTTGCAGTCCTGATCTCACTGTTCAGTACCGTAACTCCCTGCATTACTTGCCTAGACACTGGTCTCACAAGTAGTAAAACTGAATGAGTCAACAAGCATGCTATAGTTAGCTAGATGTGCAGTTGATAATTATGTCCTATTTTGTCTATCTTTGATAACAGCAGCAGGCCTTAAACCAATATTTTACAACATAACTTTGTATCTTAAATTACCAGGAGATAGCAAGCTACCAAGAGGTACATTGTATTTGGAAATCCACTGTGAATCCAAGCAAAGGTCAAGTCAATTTTGTGGGGTTTCTTCTTTTGTTTGATACATTCACTCACAAAAATACATACGAATGTCAAACCAAGATAAAAATCTGATGACTTTACAAGTTTGGAATATTTCATTTGAATTAATTTTGCAGTTAACATTTTCAGAATAACTCAGTCATCTTAAGACTAAAATACTTCAAGATAACCTCTGCTTCAAAAGATATATGATCTAGACACTGACTTAGATTGAGACCAAGATTATTGATTTTTCTTTCTGGAAGCTTGTAAAGGAAAAATTACTACTTACCTCCTAAGGTTGTTTAGCAACATGATGTTCACATACATATAATACAGATAATAGCTATAGGGGGGATTCTTCTCACTGGTCCAGAGGTCAGGGTTAAGGCTCTTGTCAGAGAACATATGGCCACTGTGTTTGGATTCATCATCAACACTGTCAAAGCCAGTCACCTGGTAGGAGAAGAGATTCACCAAATCAGTATTTTCAAGAAGCAAACTTCAGCATTACTGATTCTTGCTTCAGGACTTCCTTGTAAGAAGCATCTGGTCCTTCTTCATTTCCCTCCTTATGCTAGCAGTCCTGCTGCTCGGCCCTCCTACCATACCATGCAGAGAGCAGGAATAATGTGTGTTCAAGGAAGTTTCACCCGTTGTTTTCTTTTGAGTGAAACAGGAGGCCCAGGTGCACAAAAGCCTTCAGACTCAGGGGGGTGGGGGGTCATAGGCCTGTGAAACTCCCTCAGATCTAGATTATAATCCTTTGAACTCATCTGCTTTGTTATTTGAAAAGCAGCTGAATGACAGAGGCTCCCAGGAAACCTCCGAGTTCTGATTTGGGGGATACTCAGAAATGTCTTTTTTAATCATGTCCAGCAGCTACATCCCCACCTCTGTCCTGAGTCCCATCAAGATCTATACAACACGTTCTTACAGTCATCTCCTTTTTGGAGGCCAGTGCCAGAGGCAAGATCAACATATGCATTCTGGATTATTATGCTGTCTCGATACAAGATCATGTGAATGTTTTTTTTGTCATTCTTTATAGAAATGATTGCTGAGAGGACAAATAAATAGCTGTTGAGCTGTTTCAGAGGAAATACATGACAACTATTTGACAACAGGACCTTACCTGGCTTTTATTAAATTCTATGTCAGGGCTTAAAAACAATAATACAAGTAATCTATGGAGGAGGAAGCTTTTTTACTGTCTGGAAACAGCTGTGGGAAAAAAATTTATGGAGAGGATCCATTTCATGAGAGACAGAAAATATACTTACATATTTGAGGAAAAGGTGCAATTCTTTGTGGTCTTTGGGATTAATTGTTGCTTCAAACAAAGGTACAAAGATGTTCTCCAACATCTTCCCAAAACTAGGTAGAATATTTTTAGACCTAAATATGTCACTGAAGGGAAAAAATATATACAGTTGTGACCACTCTTTAATCAGCTTACATTTTTCCTCGTCTTTTATATTTTCTGTTATTTGTGTATATTCAACAGATTCAGTTCTACTAGGATTCAGAAATTCAAAATTTCTGTCAGGGAAGGTATTGTCTCTATGCTGTTTCCTGCACTGCCTGGCACTCTGCTTCACCCAGGCTCTGCTGAAGCTCCTGAGTGCTCCAAAAGTAGTGACAGGGGTAGATGCTGTCTCAAGAACGGTGACCCCTTCCCTTACAGCCACTGAAGACCAATAGGGGAGATATGGAATTACCTCTTGTGAAATATTCGGTTTTCCAGAGTTGTAACTACCACAAATGAAAGTAGAATGTTCTGCTCTAGTGAGCCTCTCAGAAGAGGGACAGTAGTGCATGACAAACTGTTGGCTCTCACATGTACGGAAGAAGTTTTTACATAAGAAAGTAAAGGAGATAAACTTTCTCCCTGATCAGAAACGCACCCTGGGGCATATATGCGACCACGACAGCTCTTTTTCTACTCATATTTCAACTATGCAGTTTCAGAACATGAAGCTCAGCTATTAAGGCTGACAAAATTATCATGGGAGACTGTATTATACAGTATTAGAAACAACCATTTAATAAAGTCCCAAAGGATGCTTAAAAACTGAGAAAAACTGATACTGATTTAAGCTTGCAGATCAGCAATCTGGGTTGTGTTTCCAGGTTCACTGTTATTTAGTCACTGATTTGAGGGAGTTTGATGTTAACAGTTTTACAGAGCATTTTCTACTTCTTTATGGAATTCAAGAGTTGATTTATTTTCATTACTAAATTGTATTTTAACTTGCCGTTGAATGCAACTTAATTTTACCCATTTGTAATTTTTTATTTTAGTCTCTTCACTTAGATAAATAATTCACAGTAGTTCTGAATAGCTTCATAAAGAGTAGTCCTGTCCTATACCCCCAGACTGTCAGGAAAACTGCAGCGATGGTCAAGAATAAATTTCCCAGGCTATTTCTTATAAATAGAACTAGAGGACAGCTCATAAACCATCTAAAAATATCAGAAATTAAAACAATCATTGGTATGATTTCAAACTGTTAAAATTACCAAGAGCTCCTGATTACTTACTAGATTCTGGGAACCTGAATTATCCAGCGCATATTAGGGGAATAAACTTTATGCTTAATGAACCATTTTGCCAAGTTCAGCCATTCATCTGGAGACCGTCCATAAATGGATAAGCGGGGTTCTGTATACTGGTACTTACTTTCTTCTAGTTCACGGGCTACTTCCTATTAAGTAATAAATATATTTGCTTTAATATGGACACTGAAGATCATTTACAGCTAGTAGTACATTTATCATTGTACTTTCCTCAGACCAGATCTAACTGTACTGCCACCCTTGAATGATAAAGGGAATCTCTTGTTTATTAATCCATTATTTTATTTTAGGCATCTAAATATTATACTAGCAAGCTATCACAGATATAATTTGAGTATAACTGTAACCCCTAGATTTAGAGGACAATATTCTTGTGCAGTTATTACTAACACCTTTGTAAGACATGTTTAAAATTGGTAAATCAGAATTATACTATTTAAACTGTAGTAAATGACTACATAAAATATGCAGACCAATGGAGAATCTGACCCAGAATCCGTGGTAGCAAGCAATTTTAAAACTATTAATTTTAGACAAGCACTTCTATACATTTAAGAAGAGCTGACATCTAGTTCATGTCGTAAGAAATGAATCTGAAGCCTGTGCATGCACGTGCAGATTTGGATTTATGCAGAGGCGCTTCCCTAGCTGCAGCTACCACTAGCCAACTACATCCTAACAAACATTAAGCCAGTGAATTGATCCTTGGCTGCTCTCTATTGGCTGCACACAACTCTGCTCTGAACTCATACACAGGTCATGTGTATGTGTTTCGAACTCATAAAATTATTTAGAACGCAGCAGTGGCTGATGTAGCAGAGGTCTTTCTCTGATGAACTGCTAGAGCAAGCCCAATACTTAGAATTACTTAACCACAGTGTTAGCTCCAATTATAACATCAAAAACCTTTTACAAACCTTCATTTCTCTACAGCTGGAAAAGCTTGAAACTTACTTACCTTGACCATACGAGCAAAATATTCACCACCAATGTAGTTCTCGGTTTTCAAATACAAGTCCCTCAGCTCACTGGCACCAACTGGATTGTACTTGGAATTGAATTTGTCAAATCGATGAAATGTTTGACGACCCTGGAGGAGGAAAAAAACCCAAATAACCATGGTTTTAAGTATGCAAAATAGTTTATAAATTAAATTCCCTAGCAATAAAAGACATAAAAAATGCCTATAGCAACTTAATATGTGCACGAGTTCAAATTCTAATTTAATAAGTTATCATGCAAACACTAGAAAACAGAATTTTACACTTAGATTTTTCTCATTTACTTTGTCATTTTAATAGACTTACTGCATGGACATCTAAAGAGTCTACAGTGAGGTCATATGGGTCCATGTGAAGGCTTTCAAAGACTTGCTTTAAAGTCATCTTCTTGCCTTTTTTCTCTGCAACAATCCTGTCAGGTTCCGTTTGATACGTGTGCTTAATAAACCTCAGTAAGTGTTTCTGGTTCATGCAAGCAGCAGCATGGATATGAGTATCAACCTGAAATCAAAAGGTTATTCATGCTCATCATCCATATACATAAATTAGCAAAGTATCTATGTCAGTGACAATGACTGAAGCCTTGCAAAATATTCCTTAAGTAACAAATGGATTCATGCGTCAGCAAGGCAAAATGTTTCAGAACCATGAGATTTTGGTTTTGGAGGAATTATTTGATAAGCAGAACTATAAATAAACCAGCTCCCAATTAACAATTTCCTATTTAAATCAAATTTTCAACAAGATACATTATAAACACAGAAACTGAGTTCAGATTCAATGTGATACTTCCTTAAAGGACACACTGATCCTCCAGTATCCTTTTATTTCATCCATGATTCAGTGATGTCTTCCTAGTTATAACCACCCTCTCTGACAGAAAGGACCTGGAATTCTCACACATTTCAATTAGCATAATTCATTTTTGTATTTCAACCACATGAAACATCTTAGGACACTAGAACTGAAAAATGTACATGAGAAATTTTGTCACTATTTTTTCCAAGTTTAATTATAATAGAGCAACTCATAATGCTGACAGATTTTTCAGTTTCTTCAGGTCTCTTCAAACACTAAGGGAAGTGCAAGCTTCACAGAAGGACTGACAGTATTCCCTCAGATTTTTGTTGAGGTCCCATTTTAAAAAAGCATTGAAAGGACCAAATGGTTTCCACAGGTTTGCTTTTCTTTTGCCCAGAAGCTTGCACTGAGCAGCTTATATTAGAAAACAGTCCAAAGAAACAACTGATGAGATTTAGGGGTTTGCTTGTTAAGTTTTCCCTTCAGTATGTGTAATTCCTTAGGTGCCTCCAGCAGGTATGTAAAATGAATGTCTTGCAGTTCCTTGCAGTCAAGGGTTTATTCTTGCCTGTCTAGAGAAATATTTGTCAGGTTATTAAAGGGCAATTTTCCAGTTCCAGCTAGATCAATGCAAAACTTATGTTTGGCTGCATTCTGGTTAAGGCCAATATGTAAGATATACCCATACATTTCCCTTACTTAATAGAAGCCTTATCTTGGGATTTAGTAAATAGATAAGCTCACTGGAGGAGAATTCCTATTAAACCAGGAAAAAAAAAAAAGAGGACAGGGAGAAGGGGAAAAAAACCCAGTAATCTTTGATTGTCATGCCAGCAAATAATGCTGGCCAGCTATCTACTATACCTTTCTAAATGCATGTTCATTGATTGACCTTGTCACTAAGCCATTAACTGTTTTAATTTTGGCATTTTCCATCAGTTACTTTGGCTCTTTTATATAAGCAAACAGATTGTACCAGATTCTCCACACTAGTGTCTGAGGGATGTAACAGACAACTTCACTAACAGCTCTTTCAAGAGGTGAATTTTATTTTTTGCTTTCCTCATGAGCAGTACGCACCATTTAGGATTGAGTAACAGAGAGACAGCCTGAAATAGAGGCCCCAGAAGTGTCTGTTTCATATTCTAAGTTTCAATGCTGATACTGTTATTAGGGAGGAAGCACTTCAGGGAAGTTACGGATCCAAATATTACTTTGGTTAGCAAGATGTAGGAAAAGCAAAATTACTTGGGGGCTTACTGGAACTCTAGCTACAATGCAGTTTACTTGCCATAGAGAGTGATTCATAAAAATACTACTTTAATCAAGATTAACTCTGCGCAGCAAGAATTTTTAAAGCAATAACCAGCAGTAGGAATGATCTCTGCCAGAGAAGAGCAAGCTTGTTCCTGCTCCCCTGAATCTGAGTATTGCCAGAGAGGAAGTGCTGCACATTTTGTGCTTTTGAACAACATGAATCCATTTGTAGATTGGCTTATTTAATAGTAGGTAATTAAAAAATAATTAAGATATGCCCAGTGACAATGAACACTGTTTTTAAATCAAAAGGTGATCTTAGCAAATACAATTGGGTTAATTACAGCTTCTCAGTAATCAAACTGATTGTCTAAGCAGTTACCTGATTCACATCTCTGTCCTTCACACCTCTCAGACACCATGTGTTTTGTGACTAGTGTCTGTCAGCTGCACAGTGTTTTACCTGAATGTGGCATGGAGTAAGTATCTTGTCCAGGGTTATGCAAGAGAACTGTCAAGTTAGGAGTTGAGTCTCTGACACTTGAGTCCTGCTTGAGTGAATTAACTAATAGATCCACCCGTCCATACGCTTACAGATAAAAGTGTGAAATTCATTAAAATTTACCTAACAACCCATCTGCTTCTAGCCTTGTGATAGACAGGGATAGATTCAAACACTTTTGTTTAGCAGATTTTGTATTTGACAGTTTATTTCCAAAACAGTGGCAAACATTCAGTAGCCAGCACACAGAAACACCAGAAGGACTTTTCAGTGTACTAGCGCTAACCAAAACATAACGAGAAGGATTAAAGTATTGATCTAAACCCTGAAGTTACAAAATAAGGACTACCTCTTCCAGTTGCATATAGAAACAATGCAAAAGGGACCTGAAGTTAAAAATACCAGCAACAGCTACTGATTTGTGAAGAAATGTCACCTATCAAACCAAGCACCCTCTCTCCAGTAGTTTCCTCTTAATTCCAGGAGAGGGGAGCAAACAAAGCAGCATAACATGGCTGCTTCCATGCTCTGAGAACGCAGCTCCCGTGGGTGTGAATATGCCAGGAAATGAAATCAGCTCCTTGATTCTCCTACCTGTCTCCTAACTGCACCCCAGTGTATCTGAGAGGCCGTTAAGAATACAACTCAAATAGTCTTTTTACTTAGCATTTCAGAGATTTTTTACCAGATACTGATGGCAGCATGAACCCTCAGTTCAGTTTCTGTGGAAGGTCTTTTTTCTTTCAACATGTATTTAAACACCTATTTTCAATATGAAGTGAACTTTTAATCCAAAAATCTATATAGCTGTTCCTACTACAGCCTAGTATGACTTACCTATATGAAAACATGAAACACTTGACTACCTTTAAGTGATTTAATTAAAATGAATTAAACCTCCATGTAGATATTTTCATTCATAATCCAAGTAAGCTTCATTTGATGAATTCTGTTTCACTCCTTTAAAACAATCTACATAAAAGTAAGCCCCTTTGATGCTGAATAAGTAAACAGATGAGTTTAGCATAATCCATTTAACCCACTTACATTCAAGTTAATTTTCCTGGAGTGTTCCCATGTAGAAAAAATTTAATATTCTTAAAATAACATAATTCAACTGAGTAGTATGCACACACCACTGCATGCATATCATCTACACGTCACACAAGAAAAGCAAAATTGCCGAAACTCCTACTAGAAACAATGTCATGCCTTTAATCCTTTTCACACTTACCTTTCTCACATTATAGAAGTCTCGATGGGGATTACTCTTTAGTTCTTTAAATTCCGACATTTCATTTAACATCTCATGTAAACTAAATTTAGATTCTAAAAAGTTAAGCCTCCGATGACAATATGTTTTTCTGTAAAAGAAAACATAAAAACTTAAAACTATTTGTGTTTCAAGTTCAAAAGACTGTTTTCACAGTAAAAACAAATATTTTATGAAGACCAAGACAAATCCTCTTTTTATCCTACTAATTAACTAAAAGTCAGTATCTAATATGATTTCAGACCAATGTTATTAGTGAAACCTCAAACAGAAATCTACAAAGCTGTGCTATGCACTTTAAATTGATCAAGTATTTATCACTGTATCTGTGCATGAATTGTAGCTCTTTTAGTAATGATGACCAAAGAAAGCATAAACCCTATAATAAAATGTGACGTCAATTGCTAACACTCTGAAACTACACCTCCAGTGGAGCAGATCACCTCATACGCAACAGAAACAACCTGTAATCCAGACTTACTTGCTGTTTCCCTAAAATTTGTTTGCTTTTTCAATGTGAATATAAGCAGCCAAGATAAGATCCAACATATTTTCATTTTTTATGCCTTAAAAACATATTCTGTATAGGAATACTTTTTTTCCAAAATAATTTATTGTGCTCTTAGAAAACTCATGCTTTTTTTGTTCTTGCTTGCCTACTCCTCTGTCTTCACTTTCATCTTCTGCTATGTTTCTATTTTTAACCAGTGACATGGTTCTTCTCTTCACCATCTGTCAATTCTTATTGAATCTACAATGTTTTTGTAGCACTATTAATGTAATAGACTGCTTTTTTCTGCTTCATTGTTGACAATCTCTCCTTAATGGGACACAAATCCCATTATGGATTTGAAAGACCCATTCCAACATAGTCTCACTGTATCTCGTACTGATCAAGATCCATTTGCTTGCTGCAGAAGTCTCTGTTGGGTTATACTTACTATTCAAGAGACCAGAAGACTGAGGAGTAGGGGCAAGATTTCACCAGTTTAAGAACAGCAAAGATTAAAGAACAATGGGTTCTTGATCTCCAAACAGCCCCACATGACATAAATGACAGGAAAGCACTTGCTACAAACATGGAAACAATACCGTATGAAGAGCTTATGCAACAGGATTACTGAAATGACTTTCTCCTTTTGGTTTGTGTGTATTTATTGGGGAGTCTAAATCAGCCTGCAAAAGGTTAATCTGAAGTGAAAGGAGCCTGATTGCTCCAACATTCACAAAGGCAATGAGTGTCCTAACTTGTCGTAGCTTCCTGATAAAGACTGTTAACAATAGCTGCAAAAAGAAGGGTCTTCAGTATGACTTTCATTTCAAGTTTTTCCTCCTTACCCTTTAATCTTCTCAGTATGTCTCTTAGAATATAACACACTGAAACTGGAAATGCATTTACCCACAACATACTATAAATAAGCATACTCGAGCTAGCTTTGTTTTGGAGCAGAAGGGCTGATAATGCTGGCAGAAGCACAGGCTTTTGCTCTTGGAAAAGTGCTTAGGGAATGGGACAGTTCTGTTCAGTCCATCTGCTTTGCCACTATCAAGACAGATTATGCTGCAGGTGTCAGACACAGACTCAAAGGGGAAAGAATGCCATCAGGTGTGACTGACATCACATGGTAAGCAACGACCTCTCAGAGGCAGAAGGACCAGGAACCCAGCGCAAATAGTTCAGAACAGTCCCGATCCCTGCTTTGTTCCACTCCAGGATGGATTCATATCCTCTCCTGGTGTTGAGGCCATGAGAAACCTAGATGTTTCCAGTCCTCAGCTGGGAAGTAAGCTTAAGAACAGGATACAGGTGTTTTTGTTATGCACTAGGCAAGTATCATTAGCATGTCAGTGACTGTACGAGACTTGTTATATTTCTGTTTTTTAGAGATTTCCCAGGAGTTTAATGGTTCTGTGCAATTTCAGACCTATTTTGATTGTGCATGTGTGGATCAGTTTTGCAGCACGAGTTAACTGACATCTGGAACAAGTCAGACTGAGTATTTATGTTGCTGAACTGTTCTGTATGCTCTACATACACAGGGTTTCTCTTCATGCAGCAAGAGCAGAACAGACACAAAGGGATTCCAGACAACTGTTCAAAAACCTCGAATTCAGCATAGGCCAAAACAAAATAAAAAAGGTGAGGTTCAAGCTTCAGTTCCCATGCCTCAAGAAGTCTGGATCAGATTTGACTTGAAAAGGAACATTTGTCCAATCTCTTGCTTTTCTGTTTAAGTGCTTCTCATTTTGCCATGGCCGATGCGAAGAAAATAAAGAAATTAAGTCTAGCCATATGGGGGGGTGGGTCCCCCCTTTTAAGTCTTTTCATGATACATTAATGCTCAAGAATGGCAAAACAAAACATTACTGTATAACAACAACGTTGAGGAGTTAAATATCATAAAAGACAGAAGTATTAAACTGAAGCTAACAAGCAACCTAAAGGGACAGAAAAGAAAGAAAGAGAAACATACGTTGGGCCATCTGCAATTAGAGCAAGGACGTGGCTCAGGTCAAGGGTATAGGTCTCCAGATCAGGATATGGCAGACTCCGAGGCTCATTGAGTTCCATCATTTCTTTGTTATCATAAACAAAGGGAATGCCACCTTTTAGCTTGATAACATAATCCAAATTGTCTGGAGCATCATCAAGATTGTAAGGATCTTCATTTTCTTCTGGGGGTGAATGAAAATCTGAAAGTAAATTTATGTTACATTCAGAAGAAATCTTAGACAAATGGCAAAATAATTGCAAAAATTATCTTCTGCTTCTATAATGCTTTATTTCTAACAGATGTTAATACCTTCATTAAATCACATTTTCACTTACTATAAAAGATCTGTTGTTACAACACAGCTTTATTCTGACAGGTTTTAATTGCAGTCCCCCTCCAAGCTGAGTGCCTGCCTTATTATAAATTATTAGAATTCTCTGAACCAAGGTATAATTAGATTTAATACTATTCTTTATTAATGTATGATAGTACAAGTGTCAAAATAATCTTCCAGAAGTATTTAAATTAGGATGACTGAAAGTACAGTTGAGATTTTTGAACAATAAAACAATTGTTGACTTCATACCTATCTTCGTAACTGTCTTTTCACCTTCTGACTCACTGCAGTAATTTTGGAAGTTTGTAGTTAAGCACACAGCTGTTCTCACATTGAACCATCAGTCAGAAATGGGCAGGCTGTGCCTTACCTCTTCACCTCTGCCCTTCCCACAATCCAGTGAGCTAGAGTAGTGCATACATACTAGAACTGTTCCCTCTCTCAGCAGGAAATAATTTAAGACTTGGTGCTTCTCACTGTGACCAAGGCAGTGGTTGTTTGCAGGTTTTGGGGGGATTTCTGTGTTTAAATGGTTTTATTGTGTTTTGATTGGGGTTTTTTTGTTTGTGGTTTGTTTGTGGATTTTTTAAATAAAATTCCTTAGTTTTATGTTTAATTGGTTTTGAATAGAACCAAGAAGTGCAGGAGCCAGAGATAATACAACACAGCTCCCCTTGGCCTTCTGATCACGACTGAAATCAGAAAGTACCACAAGCATATTTGGAACTTGGTTCAGTACAGTTTTGTAATCCCTTTACAAAATCACTTTTTTTTTTCGCCCCAAGAATCGGGTAAACACACATACTTCTGGGAGATTCACCTTATGTGACCACTTGAACATTATCACTCATGCTAGTGAATGTCTATCGCTTCTTTTACAGTATCTTGCTAACCTAACTAGCATAAAATAAGTGTCTCAACTACACTGATGTCAGCTGTACTACATTCTTGGGCTCAGTCTTATCACTGAGATTTCTCCTTTTACCTGTCCAGTTAAGCCAAGCCAGAAGAGTAATTAACCTGTCTTTTTATTCACCTAGAGCACCTAAATGTATGTTATAAACTGATACCAGTCTTCTCTCCAGTATTCGTAACTATCCAGCTCAAACCTGTGGTAGCTAAGACACTGAGTAATGAGATTATATTGTTTATGTCCTAACTTTAAAAGTCACAACTGTAAAAAAAGTTAACCTAATAATAGCTTGGAATTATCTCCCTGGCAGATGTTCCAAAATATCTTTCCTGTCTTGAATAATCAGTATACTGTCCTCTTTACACTATTTCTGTATAATAAACGCTTGAAAACATGTTATTTCATCCTCTTTCAACCACTGAGTTAGAGGGTGATTTAAAATGTTGCTTTATGGCTGAGAATACATTGCCAACAATCTAGACGCACCTACGGTGGCACATCCGTACAGACCAAAGGTTGCTTTTTACAGGCTAATCCTACAACTATCAGTGCAAACAGTTTAATGCACAAGCAAAGCTTTCAAGACACAACCCACCTAAGTGACAAGTATCATTTGTAACATATATGATGGGGATTATGTTCAACCTAATAAACCCAGTTGAGAGATCAGAGTTTAACAACCCAGGTAGAATGCTCAACAAACATGACTATACACAGCTTCCAGGCTCGACCTGGTAAGTGTACCATGACTGTGACATCACTTACTCAGGGCTTGCTAACTGGCATGTCTGTATCATACGTCAATTTAGAGTAGATGAGCTCCATTTTATTTCAGCATGCCAAGATCAGGAGGAATGCCTTCTCACTTTAAACCATAGCCATGTATCTTTTTCTCAGAGGAACAGAAGTTGTACTACTTACCATCTCATTTGCTGAAAACAAGGATAATCAATGAGCATCTAGTATTTTTTTTGGCAGCTTCCAAGTTTCAGACTAGACACAGGATTTATAATTCAGGTCCGTCGGCGATTCTCCAACACTTATTAAGAGAATGACTTACAGCGGCAAAGACACTCAGAAGAGATGGTCACAAAAATCCAACTTACCTTTACTACAGCAGTGCATGGGTTTAATTCTGTATTTTAAAAAGAAGAACAAGGATATTCACCTGGATACACTTCATCTTCAACCTTCCATTTTTCATCTTGCATGCTACACAAATACTGAGACGTTGTTCTTGGGAAGCGATGGTAGGCAAGACGTGAATACTTTTCTCGAATGAGAAGAGCCTTCACCAGGCTTTTGGCAGCTTGTTCATAATCATCAACTGTAACCTGAAAGGAAAGCCTAGATAAATACTGACAAAAATAAAACTACAGTTTTAGCAACAGAGCAAATCCATGTTGGTAACAAGGAGACTGAATTTCCAGAAATGTAAGTGTATGTGGCTTGACCATAAGGATTTTACCCAAGATCTCAGGAAGCTGGTGACAGAAGGAGAGTCCAAATACAATGTGCAAAACACACAAACACAAAAATTTTTTACTCCTACCATATATTACCCATTTATTTAATGTCTGATTATGGTTTTATTTATTCAATTTATTTTTTATGATAAAAAGCCTAAAACGACCTAACCTTTAACTGTTTTACAAATCAGTGTGTTCACAAAGCAATCTACAGTTTGTTGCAGAGAGCCGTAATATACTGGCACTTCACACTTCATATACACTAGCTGCTAGAGGTTTGGGATTTCTGCCCCTTCCCCAGGTACAGAAAGGGGGGAAAAAAAATTGTTTCTTACCCCAGCACAGTAGTCCCCACTAATTGAAACTCTCTGAAACTCTGGTACATCATATGGCACTTGGACTGGCAGAAAAGTACTTGGAAGAACTGGTGTTGCAGGAGACAAAACAGGATTGGCCGATGGTGCTTTCCATTCCTGAGATGGAATTTGTAATGACAAAGACTGGGATCGAATCATCTTAAAGCTTTTCTTCCTATAAATTCATGGTATAAAGCATGAAATAAGCCATGGTATAAAACATTAAATACATTGGAAAACTGATTAAAGCAAAGAAATCACCCCTCAAGAAATTTTACAAATTAAGTCTCTTATACTACAGGAAAAACATTAGTCACAAAGTATTTGTGCATTTAGCATTTTTTCTATTGACACTGCTCAAGATACATGGCACACACAATTGCACTTACCTTCCACACAAGTACACTATGCCATGATTTATTTACAATCACTGTAAAATGCCCTAAGGTTTGGTTTGTCTCACGTCTTACAAATTCAGTTTCAGCAGGTCACTGTACAGAAGGAAAATGCAATCACTATGCTTACTGTAGTAGGAGTTAATTCTCTGAGACTGGTAGCATCAGAATTCACAAAGTATCCCACAGAAACAAGTGAATGTTACATACAGTAAGTTGTTATAAGTTATCACCCTATTACACATACTTTTTATTCTTCCCAAAACATGCAGGTTTTAAAAAACTCATCTAGTTGTCAGACAAGACTATGCATCAAAATTTAATATACATTCAGTTAAACTTGTCAGAAAAAAGATGAGCACACAGTTGTTCCTTAGGCAGTGTTTGACAAGACTTGAGCAAAAGGGTAATACTGGTTATCAGAGTAACAGCATGGCTTTGGTACGCAAGCCCATTCCTTCCCTCACGGCACTAACGCCCACCGATTTAAAAACTTTTGCCCTTTCTCAGCAAAACTGTAGTAGAAGTATACCTTAGACAAACCAGCTAAAAAAGAACCCTGCATTTGTCCGTGTAGTAATTGTAATACCTCAAGTGAAATTTTAGAATATCTCTAAAAATTTAATTAATTTTCCTTCTTCAGTTTAAATGTATTCAAATATATCTTAAATATTCATCTAATAAAAATAATGCTATATACTACCTGAGATATCACTTTCTTCTGCACTGTGGAAATACTCCCTCGTTTTAAACTAGATACCAAAACCTTAACCACTAACCAAGAAAAAGGAATACTGGAATACTCTCTGGAGATTGCATATTACTTCTGTGACATTATGAAGAGCAAGAACAGACAGTGCTGGTACAATTAATACCCTATGACCAAATTCCATCCTCTCCGAAGTACTCGTAGCTACCTTTGAAATCACTATGAAATTCCTGAAAGGCATTTTTGGATCAACTGCAACTGAAAACAATACAAGTTTTACTTGTGTAACTGTCCTTGAAGTACACTTCAGTCCTGTATGACAGGGATGAATACTTGTTCTGTTCCCACATGTAAACAACACACACATAATACCCCACTTCCCACAGTTAAACTTGTGCAAAACTTGACGGACAGTCTGGCAGAACATATTTCTATAAGACAACTTTCCAAATTAAAAGTGAAACTTACTAGTTCAGGAGGAAAGACATATCAAATAGTTGTTTGAATGAAAACATCTAGTTTTGCCTTCTGTGCTTGTTTATGTCTATGAACATGCCAACTGGGAAACCCATTTGCGCAGTTCAAATCCAAGAGTCTCAGCCTGTATCATCAGTGTGTCGTACCTTAATTTAACTAAATTGTCTCTTCTCCCTTCTGTTCCAGAATTACGATGCCAAGCGTTGCCCAGCTGATTGTCTGCAGCTAGCAGGGTGCGTGTGTTTAGCTATCACTTCCAAAGGCTTCCTTGTTTGCCTGCTTTGTGCAGAGTCTGTACGCATACAAGCCACCTGGTGTGAGACTGCTGCTGAGCTCACATGACTCTAGGAAACAGTCTAGCCAGTCCACTGACATTAAGAGAGTGGTACAGCCTGACATCAGGGTAAGGCTACCTCTCCCACAGAAGAAAATCATAAACCAAATCAGGTTTGGCTTCATTAGATTCATGGCTAAACCAAAGGTGGACTGTACTACTTTTTTGAGAAAACTCAAAATGTCCACTTTTACAGCTGATAGTGGTTAGATTTTATCTCCGAGTTAAGGAAACCTACGAATAGCCTCATTATGCCAATACCACTTTTCCCTGCTTTCATCTATTTTTACAGAGACTAAAAGAAGTATCATACCACTGTCATTTTCTCTGTGTTAAATTTTTCCATTTCTCTGAAAGCAACCAGAATAAAGGGCTGGTAAAAAGTGTTTATTTTTCTGACTCTCTGTACATTAAAGTCTTAAGGTTGTGTTCACTTCTACCCAGCTATACTGTTTGTCAAACTTGGATAAGCAGTATCTATGCTATTGCTGGAAATGCAGCTGAGAACCTAGGGCCCAGCCCCACACCTTCCACATACCACGGAAAGACTCACAGGAGCCCTCGCTGTCAACCTCTTTTCTGAACCAATAGGAGGCAGAATATTATTTGCCAGATAATTTCAGTATTAACTCAAACTCGTTTAAAAAACTTATTTTCCACTCAGAAAGCAACTACTGAACAAACCTTTTAGCTGTTTCCACAGACTGTTGTTCTGCCAGTTCCTTCTGCAGCTCCCTTTCTTTGGCCTCTTTCTGCCCAATAGGGCAGTCCTCAGGCACGGTGAATAGTGACAAGGCATCTTTGCTGTCTTCTTCTCGGAGAACTTTAGCAAATACCTTCTCTGCTAGAAGTCGCACCTGCTCGTCGACCTCAGAGATGTTCAGCTTTGGAAACTGTCTGGGCATCTCGGCTAAAAAGGAAGACAGATGACAAAGTTGTAACTACAAGATGAATAAAAGTATGTGAGAGACTGAGTTTTTTTCATGGTATGCCTATCAAAATTAAGAGCTTAAAGCAAAAGCAGAATAAAGTAGAATTGCTACACAGAATTTAAACTAGTATGTGGTACGTAAGAAACACAGGCATCCACAGAGCATCTTTACTTGTGAAGCCATGCCAATTTGTGAATCAGGAACTTCCTGATATACTCATGAAAATTCCTAAGACAGACAGATATGTACGTACAGATTTGCCAGTAGATTCCACTTACTTGCCATAATCAGAGAGTATTATTTGTGATACAATGTACGTACTTGCACTCAACTTGGAAATCACATTCACTCAGTTGCAGGCCTTCTTCCCCGCTCAGTGACTTCAAGCCCATTTTAGAGCCACGAGCAAGTTAGAAGACAAGGTTGCACATTTCCACCTCCTCTCATCCTTCCCACAAATATGAAAGTCATGGAGCTGCTGTGAAGTAAAATGGTTGCACAACAGGAACAAATATGGTGTAGTTAACTCAGTGGCTTTTTTTTTTTTTCCATTTGTTTTCAATAGTTCATATCCTGCTTTTGAAGCGTCTACGGGAAGCAGATCGGATACAGATTTTAATTTCTACTTGGCATTTAAATACTATTTTCTAAAAAATATGTTTTATATTTTAAATTTAAGTAGCCTTTTTTGACAAAATATTTCCATTTTGTTACAGCAGTACTACTGAGAATACCATCTTTAGTGTTTCTTCTGTAGTTTCACGTATTTATTTATATTTCATTCTAATACAAGCCAAAATGTAATTTTTGACATATCTAGTAGCATTCTGGAGGGGGAAAAAAAATACAGTGCTTGTAAGCTACTGACCAGCATCGTTTATTATGTACTAAGAAGGTTTTTGAATGCCTCCACTATGATGGAGTTTGTAACAAATAAGATTAAATTCTTATTACATAAGCTAAAAATAGCAATGAACATGTCACAACAAATGTATCCAAGCACTGACAGAATGTAAAGTCTGGGTCCAAAACTGACATTTCAGAATCCTTTTTTGTTATAAAAATGCAAACGTATTTTATAAGATGCTATTAATTTAAATAATGATGTATGCTGAAAGTCAGCATGGAACATGAGTTTTTAATCACTCCAGACATAACTTATCAGGGCCCCCATTACAGTATTTCTGTAGGCATGCTGCAAGTTTCACATGTTGATATGTGATCCTTTTGATATGTGATCCTGTTGTTTTCAGCCTAAAAGATTCTAATTAATGTCCACCTGTTTCACAGTTGCTTTGAGAACAGCTTTGCTTTTATTCTAATAGCAAATATAGTATGAAAAGGTGACGAGAGATATATCAGACCATAACATAGCAATTTAATGATCATGTACATTATTTCGCATTCTTATTTTGTAAGAACCAATTCACAGCCCAGTGGAAAAAAAGTCACTGGTTATAGAGAACTGTGGATCTCACTCTATGCAGTTTTTCTGCCTGTAAAGTGTTTTGCCATTAGTCTGAAATTTTCATAAAAATCAGGTATAATTACACAAGAAATATAAAGATACATACAAGTTTAGCTGAAATGATACAATGACAATGCACTGTGATGTCTTAGAAGCATCCAAACTTAGATTCGGTTTCTCAATTTCAAACCTCAATGAAGTCATGGGAATCTTTCCACTGACCTCAATGAACACAGTTGTCAGCAACAGTAACTGCCATACACGCAGTTGCCAGCAACAAGGGCTGTTTGGGCCACTTCAGTCAGCCAAGAACAGTCTTTATAGTTACTCCACTACAGTAAGAGTGCTAACAACAATAGCAAAATGAGAAAAATAATGTTGCTTCTTCTGCTAAATCAACTAAAATATTTTTAGTACTACCCAACTAGTACAGAAAAAAATCAATTGTTGTACATTTATTATTGGCTGAGCACTTTCCTAATATAAATGAACTTTTTCGGAGAGAATTGTGATCAGAAACAGAAATGCAGTAGGAAATACACTGCATGAGAAACCATACTGTATTTTAAACCATTATACAGACAGTGAAGAGTCAGAATGTACAGATACAAGTATGATCCTCTACTGAGGCCAAAGATTTTTTTCTTGCTTGCAAAACCTGATCTCCTGTTCTCCACTCTAGCAAATCAGAGACTAAGGCACAAAACACTTCGAAAGGTAGGTTCACCCACATCACTGCTAGCTTATGTCACTAGAATGAGTTTAATAAACCTAAAATAGTCACGAGGCACTTCATGCAATACTCATGCAAGCTGTGCTGTTCCCCAACTGGGAGAGGGATGAGGATCTTGTACCCTTCTATAGGGGTGCTGTCCCTTAGCCAAGGTGAGTGACTGGGAGGCGACAGCTGGACATCCTAATGGGATGGGGAGGGGGTATGAACGCCATTCAGCAACAGCAAATGCTCTTTTCCTTAATCTCTTACAGAAAGGCTGTTCTTCAGTTCTGCACCTTTGTAGAAGAAAAGAAAGCTACTTCTTTTGCAGCGTGCCGCATAGAAAATGATGGAGTGATTATTCCAAAAGCAGTTATTGATCAGAAATAGAATGGGCTTGAACGCGAAACGAGCACCCGCCATGGCAGCAGCCGCCGCCTCCCCCAGCCCCGCGGACGGTCACGGCTGGCAGCGCGGCCGCCGCAGCCTG